TTGTCTAATTTTTTGAGTTCTTTGTATACTCTGGATATTAGGGCTCTATCTGAAGTGTGAGGAGTAAAAATTTGTTCCCAGGATGTAGGAAGGCTAGGCTGTTTTAAGAGCAGACTTACCAATCCCAGAACATAGTGTCCAGGGTGTTTTGTACTTTGTGTTTCGTTGTTTTTTTTTTTTTTTTTTTTTTTTGACTTATCCTGTGAACACAATCAATTTTCTGTTCTGGCTTGTTTGAAGTTTTACACGAATAATTCTTTCCTGACATTGGAGAAATTTTTATTTGTAATCATAAAAGTGGTCTGAGATGGACAACTCAATAATCAAAATGAATATTAAAAAGTCTTTTTACTTAATGCTGATATATTTTCCACCAGAATATCGTGTATTTCTGAATGTATGTTTTTCCTCCTCCTTCTTTATAGTCATCATGTTTAAAATCTAACTCTGAATTTTGAAGAAATCCAGTATGCAAGTTCCCTCAAATCACTTACATTTTTTTTTTAAAGAAATTGCTTCTTCCTTTGGCTGTGAAAATTAGCCAAACCTTTGTACACAGTTCTGCTCTCCATCAGCAGAGGTGTGATGTGAGTCCTCTGGTGCCTGGGCAGTCCCTGCCAGGGCATTTTTTGTCTCCTGCTCAGCCAACTTGGCTCATTAGCATTAGAGAGAAGGTTTTCAGACTCAAAGTAGCTTTAAAAGCTTCAAACCTTATAAAATCCAATTACTATTTAGAGTGAATGGTGGTGTTAAATATAGTTGTTCCTCTATAAAAGGAATAAAAGCATCCCTTAATTGGAATTGAATGCAGACTCCAAAAAATGCATCTTGATTAGGGGAGGAGAAAAAAAAAAAGCAAACGAAACTAGCTTCCTCAGTTTCTATAGTCTGTTGATCTATGTTTGTATCCGTATCTATAGCTGCACTCAGATATCACAAACAGCCCTACATATATTGTTTATATGGGTCAGAGAAGGGATGTTTCTAATAGTGTTATAATGAGCTGTTTTATGGCAATTTCTAATCAGAGGAGAGGTGCTAACAGAGCTCCAGGCTTTTTATTCTGGGTTGTAATAGACATTAAGATATCCAAGTCCACATTTAAACCTAACATGGATTCTCTGTAGAGCTATAGAAGGGGAGAGGGATTTTCATTCTACAAAGGGTCCCAACCCATGTGGGGGCAAAATGGTACAATGAACCACTTACGTGGTCCATTCATAAGGCAAACTTCCCCTTCCTCTGTTGTTGTGCAGGCTGGATGCTATTTCCAAGACTGGTAGCTTGAAAGTCAGGCCCATGTTGCTAGGTGAATGGCTTTTCTTGGGATGAATATCTTCCTGGTGATGTCATCTAATTTTAGGCTGCCGGGAGATGGTAATGAGGCACAACACTCAGGCGGGGAAGCAGGTGTCAGAGAATCTTCTTCACTCCCTGAAATGCAGTTCAGAGAGGCACGTTAAGGGATTTATTGGGGATGGGAAAGGTTCAGAAAGGCACAACTGCCACGCAGACAAGATCTGGAGCCCTGCAGAACTGAGCTGTGAGGCAGCCTTCACCAGACCAATAACCCTGGCTGTATCCAAAGATGTGTCAAGATGTTCCTATATAAAATCCACGGGTCCAGGGAATCAGAGTCCTTCAAGAACAAATATTTTTGGAGCATCTCTACTACGAATACAGGTAAGAAAAAGAAGAAAATGGAAAAGAATATGAGAGAGAAATGGCAGCAGAAAGGGAGATTTCTTTTGATGAGTCTAGATATTAATGACTTCTGAATTGGAGACTGCATCTGTCAGAATCAGGAGTGATTCTGATGAAAAACAGCACAACAGCATCATTGAAGATTTTCTTAGTGTAGTTTTGTTAGGAACCTCGAGATGAGAAACCACATAGAGTGCCCCATTGGTTTCAAGGTGTTGGTGGATTTTTCTCTCTTCTTCCTTCTGGGTTCTTTCTCCTCCTCCGAACCTCCACCATGGAGTCATAACAAGCACTGGATACTTATGTCCAACCAGGCTCTCCTTCACTCTTACACTCCCTCCCAAATGTTATTACTCTTCAAAATATGATAAGTGCTAAAGGAAATGAAAAAGAAAAGTAAGCATCTATTTTTCATTCTTTATAAGACATTTATAAAGCATTCACCTCTACTGATCCTTTAGTCACCTCATAAAATACTACAGGCTCATTAGAGAAAATTTAGAAGTGATGAGCAAGTGGAAGAAATTAATGTCTATATGTAGCTCCACTGTCATGATGACTGTGATAACACTGACTTGGAACCTGGGTGGCCTGGCTCTGACATTCAGACTCATTCCATCCTCAAACAGTATTTATTTATTTATTTATTTTTATTTTTGTACTGGAAACCAAACCCAGGGCCACTCTATCCCTGGGCTGTATCCCGAACTTTTGTATTTTGAGATAGGGTCTTGCTAAATTGCCCAGGTGGGCTTCAAAGTCACGATCCTCCTGCCTCAGCCTCCTGAGTTGCTGGGATTACAGGTGTGCACCACAGCATCTACCTCATCCTAAGAGTCTTCATGGATTCTCTTAGAGTCAAATGAAGTATCTCCATGGTGGGCAGGCGCAATATGGCCTCACAGAAGCTGTTCATCACTCATGGTGTAAGTGTCTCTCTTTCATACTGGAGGATAAACCCCTTAAAGAAAAGGGTCTCTTCATTTTCCTCCTGGACCCCATTATTTTGCTTTCCAATTGTCTCACTAATTGAATTTATATACACTGGCAATGGGTTCTTAAACACATCACAATCTATTATACCCTAAGTGGAACCATTGACTTCTTCTCAAGCATGTTTTCCCATTATCTTCTGTCTCATTTCATGCATCTACCACCCACCCAGTTATACAAGCCAAAAACCTAGCCACGGTTCCTAACACCTTCTTTTCCCTAACTTCAACCCCTTGGCAACCCATGACCAAACATTCCCTCATTGTTTCTCCAGCATGCACTTCTCTCTCTTTCCATTATAACTAAACCTGATCATCGTCCCTTCCCTGGTGCTGTAAAATTTTGCAATTGGACTACCTAACCTACCCCTAGATGAAAGCTGAGTTACTCTCCATTCTATAGGCAGAATGCTCTTTCTGAATGCAAATTCCAAATGCATCATTACCTCACATATAACCCTTTGGAGATTGTCCAGATCTCTTGGGGGTAAAGATGAAGTTCCATAACATGGCCTTTGAGTTCCTCCAATGTGTCTACCCTACCTCTAAACTCACACTATACCCTCCATTCCCTTTTTGCATTTTTAAAGTCCAAGTATGTAAATTATCTGTTAACTTTTTCACTATGTCCTTTTTATATCAAGCTTTTATTTTCAGTATGGCCAAATCAGCCTTATGGTCGTCTTCTTTTTTTTTTAAATTCTGTTTTGTCTTCTCAAGAAATCATCCCTTATACAAAGATTATATGAACATTCCCTTATACTTTTCTTATAGCTTTAATTTTTGCCTCGGACTTATTGCATATCTTTAGCTTTATGTATGGTGTGAAATAAGGTGAGATCCTTATATTTTTGGAAATGAATGAACAATTTTGCTATATGACATTTACTGACTATTTCATCTCCCATCTCTAGTCCTCTCATTCTCCATGAAATATCATAAACTAAGTTTCCTTATAGCTGCATTTCTGGAATCATAATTTGGCCTTCACTGATCTTTATTATTGCCGCCTTTATAATGACTCTTACTATCCAAGAACATGTTGTATTTGTTTCTCTAGTAAAGATTTGTAATTTTCATATAAGTCTTGCATGCTTCTAGTTTAGTGTTAGTTCTAAGTATTTACATTTCTGTTGCTTTTGAGGAGGCAATATCTGTTATATTTTTTGTGTAATTATTGCTTGTATATAAAACCATTCTGAATTTTTTCAATTATTTTGTGTCTGATGGATTACTGAACCCTCTTACTAGTTTAATAGCTGTCTTAATATGTTTTGTGCTGCTCTAACAGAATACCACAGACTAAGAAATTTATAAGCAGAAATTTATTGGCTCACATTTCTGGAGGCTGGGAAGTTTAGTGAGAGCTTTCTTGTGGCATCATTGCATGAAGAGAGGCAGAGAGAGAAAGAGAGAGAGAGAGAGAGAGAGAGAGAGAGAGAGAGAGAGA